TCATAATTGAATGACACACGCCCTTAAAACTAAAACAACAACAAAAAACCATATCTAACTGTCGTGTCGGCCATTCTAGTAGATCCTATTCCAATATCAATTATGTATAGTTTATAGGATCTAGACCTATTCATATTTCCTGAGACATAAGTCTCATTTTACTGTAAATTTGGTTAACTTCTACCTAAAACACGAGTGTTTAAGAGCTTATAAGGCAATCAGTCTACTTAAAATGCACACACATTTAAACATACGGGACAAGATCTAGGCCTACATTTACTAAAGTTGGACCCCGGCCCACTCTCATGCATTACGTCATATTATCAGCTTTATTCGTCATAAAAATGAATAAACACAAACTTTGGTTTCTTACCGTACAAATGATACTGGAGTGAAAGAAAATCACTGCAGAATAGCGGATTATGTACAAGATTAAGATGTTGCTTCGATAAGAATCCCGTTGTTTGCAACGGGACAGCTGATCACGGCGAAGGTAAAAATGTACTAGAATTATGTCCCGGCATGCTTTGCGATGAAACAACCGTGAAGACACGTATTCTCGACGGCTTTTTTTTTTTTTATTCTCGACTGCTTTTTTTTTTTTCTCGACTGCTTTTTTTTTTTTTTCTCGACTGCTTTTTTTTTTTTTCTCGACTGCTTTTTTTTTTTTTCTCGACTGCTTTTTTTTTTTTTCTCGACTGCTTTTTTTTTTTTTCGACTGCTTTTTTTTTTTTCTCGACTGCTTTTTTTTTTTCTCGACTGCTTTTTTGGAAACTCGATTGCTTTTTTGTAAACTCGACTGCTTTTTTGTAAACTCGTTTGCTTTTTTGTAAACTCGACTGCTTTTTTGTAAACTCGACCAATTATGACGGCTGTGGCGTGCCATAGTTTTCCTAATGCTAAACAAATACTGTTGTCTGGTCAAAGAGCTCGACAACCGCGGTTGGCATTAGTGCCTGTCGGTTTCGAGCTGCATCCGCATAATTCGAATGATTTTTAAGCTTTATAAAAGTTTAGATTGTTATTTTATCACAAATTATTTTATAGAAAATATTAAGGGCAATAATAGGGAAAGGGAGGGAGGGAGGGCAAGGCAATGCGAAAAAAACAGTATACAACCCCCTCCCACACCCCTACTCAACTGCCCTATTCATTCTATTACTTACATTTAATTAACTTTGTGACACATGCCCCCCCCCCCCCCCCCCCCTCTCCGGGCACCTTTTTCCGCTTCACAGTGGTGACACAATGATCCTTACAAATTGGAGAGTGAAAAAATATTTTGGAGGAAGAGGGAAAGTGGAAATAACACGGTACGACCTCTCTCAAACCTCCCTACTTCCCTAGCATTTCCTTGTGCGAAACTCGCCTTATTCACCGCCCACCCCCTCCCCCTCTCCACCTTTATATAGAGGCGTTAAAACGTTTTCAAAGAGGAGAGTGGTAAGCAAGGAAAAGAAGACGCAAAGAAATAAAGAGAAAGGGCAATTTAATGAAAATTATATGATACGAGCCCCTCCCATACCCCGCCCGCCTTATTCTTTTCACACGAATTGACCAACGACAATAATAGGGCTCATTCATTACCCCCCCCCCCCCCCCCGGATCGTCAGCGGTTAAATCGTCAAGCTCGGAATATGTTTCATGTCATTGAATTAATGTAGTAGTTATATACTTATTTAAAAAAATATGATAGGAACGTGTTTTATTTTTCATTTGTCTTTGTTTTGTTTGAGATGCATACAATAATTATTATCCGCATAAAGAAATGAAGAAGAAATTGGCCTTCTTTTTTATGAAAACATATCCATCCATCAAACCAACTCAAAGAAATAGTCCACTTTTTGGTTATTTTGACATGGACCTCTTTAGCTCCACAATATTGGTTATGCACTATATATTCACCTAATAAAATTAAGAAAATTGAATAAGCTAGGAAATAAGTTTTCTGAACATCAAGGATAAAAACATTGCATTATATTTCTAAAAGAATGCTATAGAAGGATACAATTTAACAAAACGAGAAGAACAATCAAAAGTGATATGGACAAGTAAGTGCAATGACCATGTGCATGGGTCTAGATATTGCTTTTCAGCCTCCCTCCATAATATGGAGGGAGGCTGATAGTTTGACTGTCAAACTTGATCGACTGAGGAAACAAAAATCATTTCTTATTCCTTGACTTACTGACTTAGGTGCATAGGACGGTGTGTCCCCTTGCTCCCCTACGAGAAATCATGCTCCAGTCTGATCTGTCCTGGGCTCGTTGCTCTGCCTCTTGTGTGGATAATCCCACATCGCATTGAACCTGGTCCTTCCATCTCTTTGGAGGGCGTCCCCGTGGGCTGCGTCCATTAAAGTCATTTTGGAATGCTTGGTATGGTAGGCGGTGATGCGGCATGCGTAAAACATGGCCAAACCATTTCAAGCGACGTTTGGTTATTTCCTCGCATAATTATTATGGTGCTTGGGACATTCAGTCTCTGCCTGATCGCATCGTTCCTTATCTTGTCCATTAGGTGAACTCCAAGGATGGTCCGGAGACACCTCATTTCAAATACCTCAAGCTTATTTCTATCAGACTTTCGGAGAGTCCAGGATCCCAGGTCGAAAATCCCATAGAGACCAATAGAGACCATTAGAAAAATTCTATTGGTCTCTAATGGTTTCTGTTGGAGTCTATTGGTTTCTGTTGGACCCATAGAATTGAATCCAATAGAGACCATTCAAACCATCAGAAACCAATAGAAACCAATATCACCCATAGAAACCAATAGAAATAGAAACCAATAGGACCAATAGAAACCAATAGGACCAATAGAAACCAATAAGACCAATAGAAACCAATAGGACCAATATGACCAATAGAAACCAATAGGACCAATAGAAACCAATAAGACCAATAGAAACCAATAGAACCGATAGGACCAATAGGACCAATAGGACCAATAGAAACCAATAGGACCACTTTAAACCAATAAGACCCATAGAAACCAATAGAACCGATAGGACCAATAGGACCAATAGAAACCAATAGGTCCAATAGAAACCAATAGAAACCAACAGCTAAATCTATCTCATGCATATTCATGATTACTTTATACGTGTTCACAGAAAATTAAATTTATCATAATTTGTTAAAGGTACTATGTCCCTTTTGCAGCCAACCTTAAATGCTGTAGAACTTTGCAGGAATTATGAATATGTCATGTATGTTCTATCTGTGAAATTTAAACGTTAGCAACGTCCTCATATTCAAATTATGCAAGGAAACCCGTTTACTTGCTAGACTTCACCGTCAGACACTATTGAGTGACTGACTGGCTTTTTTTTCTTCTTTGGTAATAACATACATGAAAAGAGTTGTAAAGGGTACATGAGCATTTGTCTACATCAATAACCCACTTCTTGTGATGGCCAAGATTAAACTGATTGAATCTGTGCGCAGCATAAAACGTATGACCATTCGGTACAATTATTGTCTGAAAATCAAGACTATTACTTTTGGGCTCTATAGCCCTAAAGTCGATTTGACAACTAATAGTCGTTATTTTCCCACTTGAAGACATTTTCAAGCCCCACCTTTTTTAGGGAAGTTCTAAATTAGTATTATCTTTCAAATGCAGTTGGATTTTAACTTTTTCATTTTTTGGCCTGCAAATGGGACATAGTACCTTTAAGCAACTTATGACAATGTACATCAATTTTGTGATTTTTATTTTCTTTTGGCAACTAATGACCAATAGATTATTTGTTTAATCATGTTACAATTTCATTCACGTTTTAGCAATAGATATATTGATTATAATGATTACTATAAAATACTAACCAAGAAACAATTCATGTATGTTTATTATAAAGAATAGTACAAGCATTCTGTTAAAATAAAGGATATTCTTAAACTCACTTCAAGTGATCTATGTGATGGAGTTAATGCAATTGAGATTAGAATATACTTTATTTTGGTGGACAGTTGCTAAAATTGATTTTGATTGATCATTATTGATTTACCAATAGAAGCCGTTGGACTATTGGTTTCAATAGGGAATTCAGAATATGGGACCATTAGAAACCCATAGAAAGATCTCTAGTGGACCAACAGGAACCCATAGAAAATATCTAATGGACCAACAGAAACCCATCATAGAAGAAAGTAATGGACCAACAGAAACCCATAGAAGACATGGGTGGATGCTGGTCCAATAGAAGCTTTCTGTTGGTCCATCAGCATTTTTTCTGTGGGTTTGTGTTGGTCCAATAGATATTTTCTAATGGTTTCTGTGGGTCCATCATTTCACTTTCCCTATTGAAACCATTAGACACCAATAGCTCTAATGGTTTCTGATGGTCCAATAGGATCGGATCCTAATGGAATTTCGACCTGGGATTCTGCTCCATATGTGGCAATAGGGAGGATAAGTGCTCTGTAGATCCTGACTTTGAGTCTCCTAGAAATATCTTGGTTGGACCAGATGGCACTTTTCAGTCTTCCGAATGCCCAAGCAGCAAGTCTTGTACGTCTCTTCACGTCCTCTTCTATAGATGGAACTGTGCTGCCGAGAAAGACAAATTTTTCCACTTTCTCAATGTTGGTGTTGTTAAGTGAAATATCTTGTTGATCCTCTGTCATGACTTTGCATTTTGTTGCATTGATTTTCATACCCCATCTTCTACGTGCTTTCTCCAGTTCATTTGTTGAGATTTGGAGGTTTTCAAATACGAGTTCCATAAGGGTGGTATCATCTGCATATCTGATGTTGTTGATACGCATGTCACCCATCTGTATTCCACTATCTAGTTGTTGGATGTCCTTCATCACATATTCCAGGAATAGGTTGAAGAGGCTTGGAGAGAGGAGGCAGCCTTGTCTTACCCCAGTTATGACATCAAACCATTCAGTTATCTTTCCATTCACCATAACAGAGCATTTGGTTTGTTTGTACATGCTCTCTATGAGGTCAACTAAGGACTTGTCCACTCCAATGGAACGCAGACATTTCTAGAGAGCTTCTCGCCATATGGTATCAAATGCTGCTTTAAAGTCAACAAAGTTCAAGTGGATTGGTATTCTTCTTTCTCTGGCCTTTTCGATGATTTGTCTAAGGACAAACACAGCATCTGTGGTGCCCCTACAACTTCTGAATCTACATTGTTCCTCAGTCAGATGGTTCTCGATGGTTCCCTGTATTCTCATGAGGACCATTCTACAGAAAAATTTCCCGGGTATGGAGAGTAGAGTTATAGCTCTGTAGTTGGATGGATCCAGCTTGTCTCCTTTCTTAAACACTGGAGTGATAAGACCCTTGCTCCAGTCTTCCGGGGTTACACCTTCCGACCATGCTGCATTTATTATTTTGAGCAGGAGTTGTCTCATTGGTTGTCCACCAGCCTTTAGAGTTTCGGCAGCTATTTTGTCCCACCCGCAGGCCTTGTTGTTCTTCAATAGTTTTATTGCCGTCTCTACTTCTTCAATTGTGAAAGGTTCACTTGGGTTATCTGTAGGTTGTGGGTCAGGTATGGTCAAAAGAGCATTTTCGTCCCTTGGAAATTGCGTGTTAAGGTGAACGCTAAAATGTACTTCCCAGCATTTCAACACATCTGCGGGAGCAGTCTTTAAGATGCCGTCCTTGTTCTTCACGGCAGGTTGCATTTTGTCTCTCTCACCAGATAGTTTCTTCACCTTCTTGAAGAGCTCGTGACTGTTGTTCTTCGCGTGAGCTAATTCCATCTCTTCCACCTCCGTGTCAAGAATTTTCTTCTTCCACTTCTTCACTTCATACTTAACTGCTTTATTGAGTTTTGTGTAGCTTTTCTTGTTGCAGTCCGAGGGATTGTTCATCATGAGGATTCTGGCTTTCCTCCTTTGTTCACAGGCCTTACAAACCTCCTCTGGGAGACCTTTAACTTGTCTCGACCTTTTGAAGCCTACAATTTCCTCTGAGATATTATTGGTTGTATCTCTGAATTTCTTCCTCAGCTCATCCACATCTGTGTCTGGGAGCTGAAGTAGTGGTTCAAAGGCACCTCCAATCCTGGCTTTGAATGCTTCTACAATGTTAGAGTCATTAAATCTGCCCACGTCATAGGTTTTCGGGAGGCTCTTCATTCGCTTGGTCTTTGTGGGTGAGAACTTCACATTAGCCAGTACTAGATTGTGGTCTGACCCAATGTCAGCTAAGCAGTACGATCTGCAGTTCTGGAACGACTTTATATTTTCTAATTTGGTAATAATGTAGTCTATCTGGTTTCTTATTCCAATATAAGGCATTTCTCCAGGGTAGAAGAAATCTGTTACGCCCTATCTACTTCTTTCAATGATTTTATTCTTTTCGTGCGTTTCACGGCGTGTACATTCGGGTCTCGAATAACGAATGTGTATATTCGTGTCTCGAATAAGACTAGGATTAAGGCTGCGCACCATCGCGGACGCTGTTTTAAAGGAACAATCCGCAATGTTTAACGCTTGCCTCGGCATGATTGTCATGTTACAGTTTTCTTATTAAAAATGGTTTCAGAAAAGAGAAACATTTTTTGAAATTATGTTTGAAAGGGGAAAACGATCTTTCTTGGAAAGCAAGATGACCTCAGTCCAAGGTTTGACGATGCACATTTTGAAGCTCACTAATTAAAGATTGATAATAATAAGAATAAGTAGTACCAGCAGTGGTAGTAGTAGTGGTGGTGGTGGGGTGGTCGTGGTGATGGTGATGGTGGTAGAAGTAGTAGTAATAAATTGTAGTAGTTGTAGGCTAGAAGAAGTAGTAGTACTAGCATAAAAGAAGTAATAGTAGTAGTATAGTAGAAGCAGTGGCGGCGCACCAGGGGGTGGGGACAGGGGGACACAGTACCCATCAATGCAACCCGCCTCCACATTTTCAAGTACCCGAAAGTGCCAATTTTACATAGGAAAAGTGCCCCCTTCTTTTGCTTCAGATAAGAGCCCATTTTTATTTCTAATAAGTGCCCGTTCCACATTCTTATAAGTGCCTCTTACCACCTCTGACTTCTAATTAGTGCTCCCTTCAAATGTCATAATTGCCCCTTTTCCTTTGTACTATATGCCCCTTTTCTATTCTAATTAGTCCCTTTTAAATCTCTGCTAAGTACCCCTTTTCAGGTGCAGGAAGGGCCCCATTTTTATTTCTGAAAATATCACTTTTTTAATTTGACACGTGCTCCTTTTCTTTTTCATAAGTGATCTTTGCCATTTGGATAAAGAGATTAATATGGAAATCATCCCAGATAGTGTAATCACAATGTAGGGGTTTATATACTAATGACACAAAATAATTGTATATTTTCGCTGTAAGGTTTCCCTTTGTAGGTGCACCTTTTTTCTCCAGAAAATAACCTTTTTATTGGTACACCCCCCCCCCCCCACACTTTGAAAGATGCTTCGCCGAGTGGTAGTAGAAGTTGTAGTAGTAGTAACAATGCGATATTAGTGGTAGCGTAATAGTGGTATATTAGTATAGTCGAAGAAGTAGTAGTAGTACAACAGTAGTAGTAGTTGTAGTCGTATTAGTAGTAGTATAAGTATTGATAGTAATATAAGTAGAAAATACTAGTGAATGAATACACGTACGAGCCCTTTAAATGTCGAGTCGACTCACTTGACACCATTAGCTGCTGTGTTTGAACCTTCAGAATCGTAGAACTATATAGTCCCTCCACCCTCCCCATTTTTAAAACGAGAAGAGAATGCCATTTAGTGACTGCGCAAAATAAGAATTTTATTATACATAATTATAGAATATAATACGTATATACAAATTATTAAGAAAATAAAACTCAACAGGATAAAATATATGGAGATAAGATTTAATATGAGGAGATATATAAGGAGTGTTCTAATAACTGGCTTAAAGAAATTGGAATCCTTTCCATTCATTTACTTAACAAAGTCATTGTTGTATTCATAATTAACACTACCTTTAATGTCAAGAATCTACCATTTGAATAATTTGCTTAAACGCTTTTGTTAGTGCCCCCCCCCCCCCCCAATCCCACCGTGGTCGTACCGGTGTCCAATCTTCTTTTCAGATGAAATACTTGATCCTCAACAAAAAAATAAAACTATTTTCATCAAAGTGTTCTATGTCTAGCTTAAACCAGAGAGAAGCATTTGGGTTTTATTCTCAAAATATTTGGTTAAATTGGAATATGGATTTACATAATAATCAGAGGGACAGAAAGGCTTTTAAAAATGTAAGCGCTATGCGAATTTTACCTTTAAACTAAATGGCATAATATACACTTCTTGGCGGTATCAACATTCGTGAGTCAAACGATTTGTACAACATCTGTCGCGGTCTACGCTTCTTCCGAGCTCAAAAAATGAGTACGTACAAAGGATTACAGTGCCAAAAGATAATATCGTCTTGTTTGAGATGTTCATTTCTATTCCCCCCCCCCCCCCCCCCCTCCCTTTGAATTAATGATTCAAACTTCGTAGAATGATAGTTAATATCATGAAGTATTTTTAGAATCAATCTTGAAACATATAACCATTAATAACATATTTTTAAAATTAATTAACCAAATTGAATTTGAAAAGCGCCCTCTCTGTTTGCCCTACTGATATGAGATCGGTAGTTGCTACTTTCAACTTCATGGTCACACTTTCTTTATAAAATCGTCTTTTGCTGAGCTTTGCTGTGTTGGATTTCTTTGATTATGTTTTGATACTAATACTGCTAAAGTAACTTCACTCGAATATCCATCACCATTAACTAGAAATGTGGATTCATAAGGTGTTCGACAGAGCAAGCTCACTTGTTAAAAGTATAGACCAGTTTTGGAAACGCCCCCCCCCCCCCTCACAAAATGAAATGAAAGCTTCTATTACCAATCATGTGAAAGAATATGTTTTGACTAATACATGATGATACAAATTTTCCCGCCTACTAATTGATATATTTGGTAAATTATCATATCGATCCGGCCTGGATAGATATCGCGAATGATATAGATATGCACTCCATCACTGAATATTTGGGCATATATTTCTTTTTTTTGCCAATTTAGGTTTAAGTTTTGCCATCTAAACCTGAAGGAAATATTTAAACAATATTGAATGGATGGTTTGCAACCAAAACCCTTGAACTGCAATTTTACCACTACCGGTCTATACCTTTAACAATAATTATTATATTCTTTCGACCATGGTCTCTGGATAATGTGTTTTGTAACCTTTTTTAATACGAGACAGAAATATCAAATGAAAGTTATGAGTTTATACACAAACTTCCTACAAATTGCTTAGGGATATATAAAAGGAGGGAAGATTACAAAAAGTATAGATAGAAATGGGTCATACTGCAAAGGCAAAACAAATTTGCTATTTAGTATTTTAACTTGGCAGTGTATTTGATGCAATGGACGGGAGAGGGTTACTAGGAATTGACGAAACCAATCACAAAACTTTTGTTCGGAATAGAGGCCTGAGCTTTATAACTTGTCGTGAATAGTTTTTAATGGAACTGTTGTAAAACATTAAATGTGTTTCTGTAATTTACATCGTCTGTTCAGAGCCAAAAGGACATTAACACTGAATCAAATGATTTAAGTTTCACACCTTCTCTGGCTCTGAGCAGACATTCTGCTCTCTTAGACTTTCCACCACTTCGTCCAAATACCAGCAACATTTCAAATTTCACCAGGACCATTCACTCTACACTCCCTGTCACACAGCCGGGAACAATAACACTTAGAACATGACGTCTTTCGCATAAAATCAATACAGTATAACTCACAGAGTTTTCAAAAAATATTGTATTGATAAAAGAGTTTTATTAAAAAGGTATATTCTGAATTCGAACAATTATTATATCTGGCATCTTTGGACACTAAAAAAATAACATTGTATTTATAACTTTGAGCAAAAACAAAAACAAAACAACAGATGATGATAATAATATTCTGGTTTTATATAGCACTTACAGGAGAAATCCACCCTGACTGATATTAATTTGGTTTTAATAGAAGCAGAAAAATGAGAGGATCAGGCCCTGATTTAAAATAAAAGAAAGTAATCAATCAAACACAAATTAGCAATTCTTTGGCGAATCGTCTCTCCTCCCATTTGCTATGTACTACCAAAAAAAAATCAAGACATGTCTATTTTCTCTAAAGAAGTTTTTCATGCACCCAAGGGCGCGATAGCTCAGTTGGAATAGCAGTGGTCTCGTGATCCGGCAACCTGGGTTCGAAACCAAGTCGATGCGTTAGTGCCCTTTGGTAAGGCATTAATTCTCATTACCAGGTCCTTCGGAGAGGATTTAAAGCTGTCGGTCCTTGGTTACTTACTAACAAGCATCTATGCTTTCTTAGCAGTCAGGTAAAATAACCATCGCTAAACCACTACATTATTGCGAATCTGTTTCTATATTCAACCCCTGTATGGACAAGTCTATTCCATCATCAATAATGAAGAAAATTAAAATTTATGACATGTTATGTACAGAGCGAAGGGTAGGGGAGCTCACAAGATATGTCACAGAGATGCCACTATGCGTTTGATGACAATTTCCAAAATTCATAAACCTTCATATTTTTGAATCAGAATTTCACTGACCTGATCCTCTCATTTTTCTACTTCTATTATAGAAAAAAATTTACATCAGGGTGGACTTCAATTGAATACTAAACATTTTTGATGTCTCTAAGTGGTTTACATACATTACCCTGGTCACTGAGAAAGCTAGAGGATAGGACTACCTGTAGTATGAGTATAGTAATTAAAATATAGAAGAAATTGCTTCTTTAAAACAACTTTATTATAGCTTTTTACATTATTTACTTCTCCGGCACATACTTAAATTATATCAAAACACAGCACCTAAATGCAGACACCACTTTTACTGGGCAAACTATAGCCAACCATTAGGAGCTATCTTGTCAGTACTCAGTTTTGAAAATGCTACTTGATGTAAAACAAAACTACAAGAGACTTTTCGTCCCTCCACCATATTGAAATTTTGGGTGATTCAATGATGCATACACTAATGGATTATTACATTATGCAGCAAGTATTCTTAAGCAGCTGTAACTTATAAACTGCTTCAAGGAAACCTCTCTTTCAATGAAATTCGATGAAATCAGAGGGTTATAACACGCAAACACAGCTACTTTAAAACATAAAAGGTAAAGTCCGTTCTCCCCCAAATCGATGTACAGTGTATTACAAAATAGTCAATATATCAAAATCAACATCAGGTTAATGACAAAGTTATTACATCATGCAATATACATCATGAAATATTAAGA